AGTACTCGATTTCGTAAAACCTTTTATATCTCTGGATACTACGTAGTATAATTTTGGCATACAAATATCAAATCAAAATATGTCCACTATCTGGGTTTACGAAATTTCGTGTTTCGTATCTGCAATTGTATCCGGCACATTTATTTCGTAAAAAATATATATATTACTACAGTGTATGGTGCACGTCATCTATAAACTACCAACTTTTTACAGAAATTTCTGACTTCTATTTCAAATTCATTACGCAAAATTTCAGCAAATTGAGACGTAGAATCGACAGATCTCAATGTGGTGAAGAAATTCTACGTCTCAGATTCACATTTGGTGATGAATTGGTCTAGAAATAGATATTTAACCTAGCAGTATTTTACATGGGCGCTTGGATATTTACGGATATTCGACCCTTTGCGCAAGTATATGCGCAAACGGCTTGTTTTTGTTTCATCATACACAACACGGTAATTTCTCTGAACGGGTTTTGAGTTGCTTCAACTTGTCATATAGAGAGAGTAGCACACCATATCCTTTGCACGCCCACCCACCATGTATTGAAGTCAAAACAACACGTAAATATATTTCGAACCTGTTTCCTGCACTGTATTTGATTTAGATAAGTGTCTGTAGAATGTAAGGTAGCTCTTCTCGCCCATGCGACGTTGAGGGAGCGCAAAGTCAATAGTTGACTGATAGCCCATCGATTAGTCCAGATGACCACAGGGCTGACTGAAATAGTGATGCGTTGGGTGAAGGTTGTTTCTGAGCCACACGCGGTGATCATCCAAGGAGACCAACAGGTACGGCATTGCAGTGAGGAATATTAGCTTTCATATAGTCAGGTACGATGGAATTCCATTGCTCCAAAATCAGGGCTGGGCCATGACAGAGCGGGGGGAGGGTTGCAAACTCTGCGTCGTTAATGTTTAATCCTACGTATTACTTCTCTGTTAATAACATTAATATATCCTACGTACTTCGAGATAGTACGAAGTATATATTAATATTATTGTGTATTTATTAATCTATATTTTCGAACCTGCTGAAGCACGACCAACAAACTGGTCGCCGCCAGAACCAGAGGAGATGAATCTTCCTTGCACTGGTTCCAAACTCCAACCCGCTCGAAGCCACACTGACCCTGCTTGGGGTTGCCGGGAGTGTTCGTCGACGCAGTTACGACCTCCTTTCGCAACGAATGCGTTCCAATCGTCGACAACCTCATCGACAAAATGGTGTATTGGGATAACTCCACGAGAAAC